TTAATATTTTTTTATATAATAAAACTTTTAAATTATAAAATTTAGTAATAATTTTATAAGATATAAAAGTTTTAAAAGTGTACTACAGGTAGTATATTAAAATTTTAAAAAGTAGATTTAAATAAAAAAGCTTTTTTTAAATAAATTAATTATTAATTTTAAAATAAATTTAATAAAATTAAACTAGAATACTAAATAAATAATTTTGTTAAAAATGTTTTAAATTTATAATTTTTTAGATTTTTTATGAGTTTTTAAAACTGTACTATCAGTAGTACAAAGGGCATGCTCCTAACCATTAATAATTCTATCCCTAAATCCTAACTTAACTATAAAAAAAGCCTACAAAAAAGGCTCTAAAAATTTTTAAAAATTGTACATAAAATAGATCCAAATTTTATGATAATCTGATTTCACGATAATTCGTGACATTAAATAATTTATCAATTTTTTAATAAAATAATTATAATTATTAATAATAAATTCATCTTTTTCTTTTTTTTTTTTTAATAATTATTATTAATTTCTTTTTCAGAACAATATTAAATTTTAATTCAAATAATTTATGTTTGTATAATCTATGATTTAATATAACATATTTATTTATATATCAAAATATTTAAAAACAAAATAAAAAATAATCAAACTAATTTTTTAATTCAATTTTCTTCGTTTACTATTTGATGATTCTGCTCTTTCATAATCTGATAATCCATCATCAGATTCATTTTCTTCTTCATTAATATTAATAATTGTTTTTTGATTGTTATCTTGATTATTTTCTAAATTCATATATTTAAACATTTTCTAGCTTTTAGGATATTCTTGTAAATATTGTTTCATATAGATAGGAAAATGTCTTCTCTAATAAACTTCATCTCCATTAATAATGTGTTCACCAGCAATTCCTTTAGTTATCTTTTTATCTTTCTTAACTGTTGCTTCAGGTCCAAATTTATCAACTCGATATTCTATATCAAATATCATATTTTTAAACTTTTCTTCATCACCTTTATGAAACAAAATTTCAGTTGTTCGTTTTTCAATATCTTTATGCCATTTTTCTTTAAATTCTATTATAATCTAAACATCTTTCAAATTGGCTCTAAGTGATTAAAATTAAATATATATAAATTAAATTTATATAATAAATAATAATTAAACCAAATATATAAAAAGTTTAAATAGTAAGTAATTACCTAGTCTCTTTGATTCATTTCTTCTTTTCTTTGACTAAAGTTATATGCTTTTTCTGGTGGTTTTCTAGCAGTTAAAAAAAATATATTTTGCAAGAAAGAAAACAAATCCTTTACTTTTAATTTTAACTTCTTCAAGAGTATCATTAAGATAATTTATAAGATCATTCCAATCAAGTTTTGTATAAAATTCATCAATAAAAACTATTTCTTGACTATTATAACCATTTTACCAATTCGAACCAGATTTTTGTTTTTTTAGGTTTTTCATATAATTCATCTTCGAATAATGCTTGAACAAGTTCTGATTTTCTACTTTCTCCTGGACCATAAAGATAAAAGTAATAGGTCACCAAAATTGTCTATCTTTTTCTTTTTGTTTTTCTTTTTGTAAATTATTATAAATTCTTGTCATTGTTTTATAACTTTTGTAATAAGGAATCTTGTTTTTATTTTTTCTAAAAATTTCAAATAGTGTTTTTCCTTCTTCTAACATTTCATTACTATCTAAACCTCCTTGATGTTCATCAACTTTTAATTCATTTATATCTTTTTTTTTTCTTTTTCTTTTTGATATTTTGTAAAACTTTTTTTAATTTTTCTAAATTCACCAAATTTAAATGGACCACCGATTTTTTTGGGTAAAGTGCTTCTGCCTCAAGTTGCAATTTTTCTTTTACAAGTTAAATCACATTTATTGCATTGATGATTAATATCAAAGAAATCACAATAACAATCTGGATGCTTCTTACAACAATCATAAGGCTTTAGAATATAATCTCTATTTTGAATTGAAGTACCTTTTAATTCTTTTTGAAATATTAATGAATTATCTTCTTTAAATATTTTTTTAGCATCTTTAAGAGTTTGTTATTTGTTGGAATGAAATTGTAAATACATTTGAATATGTAATTTTTTATTATCGGTCAGTTCAAATTTCCAAGTAATATATGAAACTTTATCTTTAATTTTTTCATATTCTTCTTGTATTTTTGGTAATACTCATTTGTATTCAATATTATTTGCTTTACAATAATCACAATGAATATTATTTAATAAACAACAATTTGTATATTTATTATCAAAACAACACCAATGTTGTTGTTAATATAAATTACAAATTGGAATACCAGTTTTCTTAAATTCTTCTTCACGTTTCTTTTTATCTTTTTTATTTTTTGTTTTCTTCATTGAACATTTAAATTTTTCTTTACAAGCTAAACAATAATATATTGTCACTTGATTATGCCAAATTTGTAACCTCATATTTTTATTTAATAAATCTAGAGAAATTTTGTTTTTATATATTTTTTAATGCAGAGTTTTTCAAAATATTTAAATTTTTACATGTTGAGTTTTTCAAAATATTTAAAATTTTTATATGAGTTTTTCAAAATATTTAAATTTTTATATGTTTTTCAAAATATTTAAATTTTTACATATTAAGTTTTCAAAATATTTGAATTTTTACACATTGAGTTTTTCAAAATATTTAAAATTTTTATGTATTAAGTTTTTCAAAATATTTGAATTTTTATATATTTTTCAAAATATTTAAATTTTTACATGTTAAGTTTTTCAAAATATTTGAAATTTTATGCGGTTTTCAAAATATTTAAAATTTTTATATATTAAGATTTTTTATATATATTTGAAATTTTTATATAATAAGTTTTTTAATATATTTGAAATTTTTATATAATAAGTTTTTTTAACATATTTGAAATTTTTAGTAAATAAATTAACCAATAATATATAAAATTTTTATTAAATAAAAATATATAAATAATACAAATATTTAATCAAAATTGAGATAACTAAATTTGTCAAATTTTTTGTAATCTATTAAATAATTATAAGAAATATTATATTTATAACATCATGTTAATATAACACTCTTATGTTTTACTTAAAGTTAGGGTCTAGTATTAAGATAAATAGAGATTTTTATTATACAATATATATTAGATATAAGGTTCCAATAGGTTCCGATTTTAGTTTTTATAAAGTTTTTAAGAGCGCTGAACATTTTTACTTAGAGTATCTACACCTATTTACTTAGTATATTTCTGAGATATAGCATAAGAGTATTATATAACACGGTATTATAAATATAACTTTTCTAATTATCCTACCAATATTTTAAAATCGTAGAAGTCACATGGTGTAACATTTAGATTACTCGTATAAATAAATTTTTTGAATTGTGTTATATGGATATAATGTTGTATGTACCCTATCATTTATCTATATAAAGCTATTTGTGTAACACCTCCCATGAGGATCTACATAAATTATATAGTATGTATATATTAGTGTAATATCTGCCACGTGGATCTACTTAAGTTGATATTCATATAATATCTAATACGCGTTATATTTATTAATATCTCACTTAGTACTTTTGATTTTGTCGAATTTTTGATTCTCTTTCAAATAGATTTAGTTTGCATATTAAATTTAATTTATCTATATAAAATTTTTTTTAAATCGTTTAGAATTTTGTAAAATAAAAAAAAAAAAGACTGAAACATCAGAAAAACACCATAAAAGACTTAACCACGAATATCAGCAACGATATCATAAGAAATTACAACAAACAAGTGGTACAAATAGTACAGAAACAGCTCGTAATATACCTACAAGAAAAGAAGAATTCAGAGTAACAAGAGAAGCAGCAAGACAAAGAAACGAAGTTGAAGTTTCACATCAACAAATATCACGAAAAGGGAAGGAAAGAGAGACTCCTGTAGATTATGATAGATGTAATTAGGCAAATGAACAGGTAAGTATGCGTTATAATGTTGTTAATATTCTAACCTCTTCTTCAAGTTCCTGTAATAGCACTTTTGAAGAAGTTGCTCCTTGAAATGAATCGCCTGCTCTCGATCCTTCTGTTCTTGCTTTTCCTCATTTATTAAAAGCACGCTCATATCTATGGTCATCAAATGGAATAAATCGTCATACTCTAGGAGGAATGAATCAAAAATAACGACATTGTAGTGCTCTAATGTGGATTGATGAAAGGAAAGCACATACATCTTTACGATCCCCAGTTTTTACCACTTGTTGTGCTGAAGGAAAGGTTCTTTTACCTCCTCTTCAACAACTACCACGACCTTTACATATGCTTTTTACTAGATCAGATTCATCAGCACATTTGTTTAAGCAAAAAATAAGAATGTATAATTCAGTGTTAGCTTTTACTTCGATAGAGGCTCAAATTGATGATAGTATAATAGGAACAGGTAGTATTTACAGCTTTCGCATCTATAGTGAAATGTATCACAATATAGGCCCTATACATCCCGATCAGGCTCGCCCTAAATTTGCACAATTCTACGTTTATAACACAGAACATGAATTGCAAAATCAAATGAATAGAATGCCTGGTCTTGATCCTTTAATTCTTGCTGACCTTTAGCAGATGTTACATGAGTTAAACCCTTATTATCAAATTTTTAGAAATGCAGGCAATATACTAACTTCTAATCCATCATTAAATTTGAAAATGATAATTACAGACAACAGAAGAAGCGACTCTAGACGATATAATGTTCCGACGGCATCAGAAGTCACTATGATTATGGTTAGAGACAAACAAGAAATCGAAACTTCAAACCATGATATTGTATTACATCTGCATATCGGGAGTTTACAAAGAATATCTGAGCTGTATCGTGCTTATCAACCATTACATTATATTCTTATGTTTCCTAGAGGTGATGATGGTTGGCATCTGTATATCCCTATCAACAGTTTTACATCTCCTCAAGAATCTATTAATAATGATGAATCGATCTCTGATTATGAAGAAGAAGTAACTACTATGAAAGATGTCACGGCTATGAATTATTTCGCGTACTGACTTCACCTTGGATGTCCAGGTGAAGCTGTAGTTCATCACTTATTTGGCCGCTTATTTCAACAATAGATAGTTGACATATATGCAATTGTAGAACAAATACGCCTTAACTATCTACATTTTAATCAAAAAAATATACGCACAGAATTGTATAGCGGATTACAAGATGCAGTGACCGCTTCAGATAATGTATCACAAACTGCAAACATAGGGCAACGTATAATTTTGCCATTAACCTTTACAGGCGGATCCCGTCACATGGTGCAACTTTATCAAGATGCAATGGCTATTGTGAGAAAGCTTGGCAAGCCTGATTTATTTATTACAATGACTTGCAATCCACAATGGCCCGAAATTACTAACACCCTTCTTTCAAGTCAAACTGCACAGGATTGCCCTGATTTAATTTCATACGTTTTTAATATGAAATTAAAAGTGCTACTTAAAGATATTATCAAAGAATCTGTTTTCGGAAAAGTTCTAGCCTATCTTTATACGATCGAATTTCAAAAGCGTGGTCTACCTCATGCCCATATACTTATTATCCTTGCACATGAGCATAAACCCAAAACAATTGAGGACTACGATTCAATTGTTTTAGCTGAGATTTCTGACAAAGATAATGATCCTATTCTGTATAACACAATCAAACAATTAATGATACATGGTCCCTGTGGTATATTTATGGCAACTTCCCCGTGTATAAAAAACGAAAAATGCTCTAAAGGATACCCGAAACGATTTCAAGAAACTCTACTATGAATAATGACGGCTATCCTATCTACAGACGAAGAAATAATGCCGTAACTATAGAAGTGCGTAGCTCAACTTTGGATAACAGGTAGGTCATTCCGTATAATCTTTATCTTTTCACTAAATACAATTGTCATATAAATGTGGAAATTTGTTCTTCCTTTACTGCTGTGAAATATCTTTTTAAGTACGTTTATAAAGGTCATGATCATGCTACAATAGAAATAAGAAGCCAAAACCAAGAATACGAACGGAGACCTAATAAAGATGAAATAAGTATTTATCTAAACACTCGATATGTATCTGCATCTGAAGCTTCATGGCGCTTATTTCACTACTGGCTACATAATAGAAGTCCATCTGTTCTACCCCTTCAAGTCATCTTCTCAGACAACATAGAGTACTATTTAGAGATGACTCTACTTGGGAATATCTTGCTGAAACTGCTTCTAATGAAACATCAACCCTTACAGCATGGTTTAAAGCCAACTCTGATTATTCGGATGCATGAAATCTTATATATGAAAATTTTCCATCGCAGTGGGTTTTTGATAAACACGCAAAATTATGAAAACCAAGAAAACGTGGTAGTGTAATTGGGAGAATGTATTTCATTCATCCAATAGCAGGTGAACATTATTACCTGTGCCTTCTACTTAATATAATTTCTGGCGCCACCTCTTTTAATAATATTCGTACTATAAATAGAATTTTGTATCCAACTTTCAAACAAGCTTGTGCCACTTTAGGGTTACTTCAAAACGATGATGAATGGGATTGCTGTTTAGCTGAAGCTTCTCAAATTAGATCTGGAGCGCAACTACGAAATTTGTTTACTATTTTTCTTTTGTTTTGTGATCCATTACACCCTGAACAACTTTGGGAGAAGTATATTTATTTTCTTAGTAAAGATATTCATTTTAATACTAACAATAATAGTGAACATCCACTTACTAAAGCTGAGATACACAATCTAGCCTTACTTTACTTACAATCAATTTTACGCAGGCATGGCAAATCACTCGCAAACTTTCCTAATATGCCTATACCAATTACACTCGATGATACTAACTCACTAATTAATAAAGAACAAAATTATGATATTGATGAGTTAACACGTATACTTGAACATGGCATACCTCAATTAAACGAAGACCAACTTACTATTTTCAATAAAGTCATCAATGCTGTAGAAAGTGAAAATCCTTCTGTATTCTTCGTTGATGATCCCGGTGGAACAAGAAAAACATTCCTTTATAAGTAAGAAATTAAAAATTTTTTTTTCTTATTTTTTTTTTTCTTTATTTTAATATATATATTATATATATAGTATTTTATTTGCCAAGGTTCGCCTAAGTCATCGTATTGCTCTCGCAGTAGCATCTTCTAGAATTGCTTCACTCCTTTTGCCAGGTGGCCATATTGCATACTCTAGATTCAAGATCTCCATTAATTTAATAGAAACTTCTACCTGCTCTATTTCTCATGGTACTAAATTAGCTTTGCTTTTACAGAAAACTCATTTAATCATATGGGATGAAACATCTATAGCCAATAGATATGCACCTGAAGCACTTGATAGAACTTTGAAAGATCTTATGAAAGCTACCAATCCATCTTTAAACAAAATTCTATTTGGAGGTAAGGTTGTAGTATTTGGCAATGATTTTTGCCAAATTCTTTTCGTTGTCCCAAAAGATAGTAGAGAAGATATTGTAGGCTTATGTTTACGATGTTTCTATTTATGGAACTATATTGAAATTTTATCTTTAAATATAAATATGTGTCTTCGTTATTGTACTAATTCTATTGATACTATTGAACAAGAAAACTTTGCAAAATGGCTCATTGCACTTGGAGAAGATCAAATACCTACCATTGAACCAGAACACGATAAAATTCAACTTCCAGAGGATCTTATTTTACCTTCTCAACAGTTAAACGATCTTATACAATTTGTCTATCCTGAATTTTCTTCGCATTCTGATTCTCAATATTTAGTTGAACGTGTAATACTTACACCTAAGAACGAATATGTTAATACTATTAATTCAACTATTATGTCTCAATTCCCTAGAAATTTTATTAACTATCTTAGTATCAATACGATTGAAAATCATACTGAATATGAGCATCTATATCCTATAGAATATATTAACTCCTTACATATTAATGGTCTTCCTCCTTATAAATTAACTTTAAAACCAGGAGCTCCCATTATTTTATTACACAATATTAGTCCTTTTGATGGTCTTTGTAATGGAACAAGATTAGTATGCCGTTCTTTTCATAGACACGTTATTGAAGCTGAAATTCTTACTGAAAAACATTCTGGAAATCGCATTTTCCTTCCTCGCATTACCCTTTCTCCTTCAACAACTGATTTACCTTTCGCCTTCAAACGTTGCCAATTCTCCATTCAAACTATTTTCGCCCTAACAATCAACAAGTCTCAAGGCCAAACTTTAAATTACGTTGGCTTATATCTACCAACATCTCTTCTCTCATGGCCAATTATATGTTGGCTGTTCCAGAATTACTTCTCGACATAATTTAAAACTTCTTATTACTAATTCTAATACTCAAAATACTAATCATGTTGCCATTACTTCTAATATTGTTTATCCTGAAATTTTTCAATAGATTTTTCATCTCTACATTCTTTACCAACTATTACTACTTTAATTCAAATTATATTTCAATTATAAAATGTAAGTGTTTTTATTTTACTCTTAATTTTAAACCTCTATTCTATTAATAACTTAAATCAAACTTATCCCTACTTTTATTATTAATTACCCGATTATTCTATTAATACTATACATACACCACCTTTTTTTAATTAAATATATTTCTACCTCAAATTTATATTCCCTTTAATAAATCTTTATATAAATACTACACCCAATTTATATTAAATTATTCTATTCAATTTACCTACTTTGCATTTATACGATTACTTTTTAATTAGCTTTTAACTTATTACACTATATAATATATACTAACTATTTATATTTATTACTATCTATTTTAACTTCTTACTTATTTACTTACATGCACCATTAACTTACACATCTTAATTTATTATTTTAATATTACTGTAATACTGTAAAAATTTCTCAACTACTCTTTCAAATAATTATTATATTGCCCTAATAATATTATTATCATTTTTTGCTTTATAACCAACTTTATTTATTTACTTTTTTATATCTACTATATGTATTTAATTTATGTAAGAAATTTAATATAAAACTTATAATTACCTACTATATTATTCTAATAAAAGGCTGATCATATTACTTAACAAGTTTAACGCAAAAATATTGCTTTCTTTTAAAAATCAATTATACTCAAAGCTTCATTTATAAAATCACCTTTCGATTATTAATAAACTAAATTCCTTCTATATTTTACTATAAACTATCCCTAAACACCCCTTACACTAACCTTAACCATTGCTCACTTTTTTTCTTTATACAAATTTTGCTTTACACATTACACAAATTTACCATTTAATACCCTTGTACAACACTCTACCAATAAAATAAACACTTTTGAACTATCTATTATGTAAATTATTTATTATTTATACATTTAAAACCAGAAGCGAAGCGACGGGTTATATACTAGTACGTATTGATAATACAGAATTTGAGTGCGATTTGTGTAACATATAACAGTCACAAATTTCCATCTATTTCCATCATGCTGCTATTGGCTGGATTAATAATAAATTCTCAAAAAAAAAAAAAAAAAAAAAAAATTTCATCCATTCTCTAAAAAAAAAAAAAAAATTCCATCCGTCATTGCAATTATTCTCTAAAAGAACAAAAAAAAATTCTATCCGTTATTCTCTAAAAAAAAAAATTCCATCAGTCATTGCGACTATTGTATCTTAAAGGTAAAAAGACAAAAAAGAAATTTTCTACACATTATGGAATGATGATATTATAATTCTTTCCCCGTCTTATCGACCATGGTGATAATTGAAAGATTCATTATAGCCAGTTTTATATCTGACATCCATAAAAAAATATTATTTAAACGAACAAAAATGAGTGCTTATATTAATTAATATTTATCGTTTCATTGTATAGGTATTCACTTATATCTTGGCACCTTTTTATAATGCATGTTATACATTCCACCTTAGTTATTATGATGGAAATTGGTAAATAAAATTTCAATTTATTTTTTGATTTTGATGTGATGAGTTATTCCGTTTTATTCGCAGTTTCCACCAAAAGGGTTACCTAGTGATGGCTATTCCTTGGATGTCTGATCTTTTTGAATTCGACTATATATAATTCTTACTTTATTACGTAAATAACTAACTATCCTTTTTTTTTTTTTTTTTTTTTTTTTTTTTTTTTTTTACTATGCTATTGTCATCTAGGTAACATTATTCTATAATAAATTTCATCAATAATTTAAATATGGGGACGCCCATAGCAAAAGCATGGAATGGGACTATATAAGAGTGTCGCTAAAAGAAAACCCGACAATTTAAATATAAGTCATATTTAAATTTTCGGGTTTTCTTTTAGCGACACTCAATAATATATAGTCCCATTCCCTGCTTTTGCTGTGGGCATCCCCATATGTCCTTAACTTATCCAGGAATGAATTCACATTAAAGATATCAATCAAATCGTAACATGTTTTATGTCTCCGTTGGACTACGTATCGCACAAAACTGAATCTTCAAGCTGAATTACCTAAACTGAATGACATACTTGGGAGTAAGGTCAGTTTCGTTAAGGAACAACGTTCTTATCTATTACCTAAATGAGTAGCAATGAAATTACCGTATTGTCGCGAAATAACGAACATGGGCGTTATTTAGAATAATGGCCCGAATTAAGCTTAATTTAGGCCGAAATTCGTAATTTCACCCCTGCGCGTTATTTCGCGACAATACGGTAATGGTTGTAGAGAATGATGAAAACAAACTAAATGTCTTGATAGGAATTGCCGTCAGAAAGATTCATGTTGATACAAGGTTCTCTGAACTCCTACCATCACTTGATATCTGATAAGGGATAGTGTCACTTTAAAATAATTTCATTTATATTTTTTTTTTCTTTTCTTTTTTTGTTATTATCCTGATCAGGCATTTCTGGATATCTCAAGGATCATAGATTTCAGGTAAGTCTCGATCTCATGACTCCATTAAGTCCATCAGTTGACGCCCGGGTAGTGACTCGAACTCCTGGCTCTACCCGGCTAATGACTCGCTATAATGGTGCTGAGCCACCTTTGATCCAAGCCGATCCAAAGCCGGTTAAGCCGCAGTAGAATTGTTTTGGGAAATTGATGTTACGGGATAAAAGTGACATTTCCGAAAATAAGCGCCTCAATTACGGATGTACTAACTATTCGAGACACCCAGACCATGTGGCAATTAGTATCACATAGGTATTTACCGAGTTTATATGGTGCTAGATAGAAGCCTATACTCGACATGTTTCAATTTTTTAAATTACTATAACTTTTTATACAAGAGGTTTTTCAAAAACTGACTGCTAATTTTGCAGAGCAATATGATTACTGGTTTTACCCGGAATCCCGACACCAAAATCCCGATATTACTAGATATTACTAAGACCCCAAAATCCTGACATCAAAATTCCGACACCACCAATATTCTAACAGTAGTCCTGTTAAGAATTTTTGTAGTGTCGTGATTTGATATTGGGATTTTGGGTGTCAGGATTTTAGTAATGTTAGGATTTTGGTGTCGGGATTCTGTGGGTAAAACCTTGTTTATATATAATTACTAATGTTTCAATTTTAAAGGAACTTTAAAATACTATAACTTTTATAAAAACAAACTTTTAAAAATCTGATTGGTAACTTTGTTAATAAGTACTACAAAGTTGCTAAATAGCTCTTAAAAATATTGTTTCTATAAAAGTTGGTGCGTTTTAAAGTTATACTAGTTTTATTGTCTAGTATAGACTTCCAACACCATAGTTATTGTCAAAACCGTGAGAGATTAGGGTGATCATCAAACTAATAAAATCAAACCATAAGTAGCGTAATATGTATTAATTACTATAGGTACAGTTTTCTCTTGAACTAACATAATAATTGCTAGTCGAATTTTTGGTAAAACAACAATGAACCAATTGAATTTTGTAAAACCGAGGTTATTATCAAAAAGAGAGAAATAAATTCGATATAAAAATTTTATATCTTTAGCTTGAAAATCGTACCTTTGTAAATTGTATTAAAAAAAATTTGTTCGATAACAATAAATAATGACAATCATTCGCAAAGTTAATTTTCCGAAATTTCCGTAATTGTTAAAAAAATCCTTACGTGATAAGTTTTATATATGGTCCAATCTATTATTTATTTACCGATTTCCTAGTGAGAGATGATTAATTGTCACATAATTTTGGTCGTTCCAAATAGTTTGGACCACATCCCTAGCCTCAATGTTAAACTCGGATGGCGCATGAGGCTTGTCGGCCAAAGGCCATCGGGAAAGATGAGTTATTTAGAATAACAAAGGTGAGCCATAGTTTAAAAGGCTTCGTATAACCGCAAATACTTAAGTCTCTTTTATTAGTTCGTTAAATTATTTAAAGGACGTAAGATTGGTTAAGACACTTATGTGCGATGTAGGAGTCATAATATTGACCAAAGATAGTTTCCCTCTTATCATAATATCACAGATATTGGTCAAATCACCATAGTCACTTCTCTGGCGAGTTGCCTTTTCTTAATTTCCCAATTGGTCGACCTTTTTCCAATATTAATTATTTTTCAAAATTTCAGACTCAATTCTCTGTCTTAGATTTGGTTTCAGCTTTGGATAAGAAGCATTTCACATTATTTTTCACTTATATTCATAAGATTCTACTAAATGCTATTCTTATTAATTTAGCAAAGTTCATATTATGCATAATCTATTAAGAAATCATTTTATAGTATATTGACATCAAAGATATCGATTACGTACGTACGTACGTATGATTGGACATCACATTAGTGTCATAAACTTCCCCAGAAGCAAAAGTATCGATTTTGATAGATCTACGGTAGCTTTTTTGATAGATCTACAACACATCCTAAATCTATGTTATGTTATTGATGCATTTTAGTATATATGTAAAATCCATTTTTTCAAGACTTTGAGCAAAAATACCTCAACAGGTATCCAATAAAATCGGATAATTTTTTTTTTATTTTGATTCTATGCTTCTGTAGAATCAAAATAAAGAAAAATTTATTGAATTTGATTGAGTAGGTGCCGAGATATTTTCGCTAAACTTTTACAAAATTTTGCTG